CGAAAACAAAATTGACAACAAAAGTATAGAAACCAGGCCGATACAGAAAAACAAAAAACGACGACCGTAACAAAAAAAGAGCATCAAAAAACCCAAATACTAGAGAAAGGGGCCTTCCTTTAAAATGCGTGGGTTGGGCCAACCCCGGGGAAAATCGTCAAAGGAAATGTGGTTGGGCCATGGTTGGCCCAACACTAATTAACATGTACTATAAATGCAGTTGTTGGCCCAACGTCGAACCAACCATAAGTTAACACCAGCGACATTTCTGCATTGGCCCAATAACGATAAATATGTACTTTAAAACAGATGTTGGGCCAACGTTTGACCAACGATACATTTTCGTCAAATATATTACTGCACCTGACCCAAAATTTATTTTTTTAAACACATATATGCATGTAGATATTTTACTGTATATAAACAGTACACTACAATGAGTATATAAAGACTAAAGTTTATAAAGTTTTTTTTGAAGCCATGTTTCAATATTGTCACATTCAAGAAATACTCATATAAATTAAATCAGAAATGTACGTAAGAAATAATTACTTTGTGAGTCTAGAAATGACCAAAGCCCAGGCTATGCAGTAGTAGGGGATGTATCTATATAGATCTATAGAAATCTTGAAGATCTGATGTATAATCTAAAAAGCAATTATACATGTTCTGAAATAGATTTAACCATCCTAAATGTTTACAATAAACCTCCGGAATCTTCCACTCTAAACTCTAATTAACCCTCTGGTTATGCAATCAATGAATGGAAATAGGATCATTTTGGCACTACCCATCCGTTCCCCTCCCTTGATTTCGAGCTGCGTGACGTGTTTACAGATATATTAAATAAATTTGAATTAGACTGCAATTTCTCAACACTGAAAAATGTAAGTAGATCTAGAGTTATTTTTACTTTAATCTTTAAAATAAACCCTTCTAATATATTAATGTATTTAAACCTGCACGGAATAAGTGTTTTAAAACCTGTTATACTATCCACGTGACCAGGTCATGTGATTAATACGAAATGGCGATTGGTAATGGAAAATACTTTGATGTTTTCAGGAATGAATTTGATTTTTGTAATGAAATTAAAACCATTTAATATATCTGAGTGTTAATCAGCTTAAAATATGATATGTGCATAATTTTACATCTAAATTTATTGTGATAACTGCAAAAAAATCTTTGATAAGTTGCAAGTTAGTACAAACTGACAAACTAACAATTAAGCACTGTTAAGCTCATACAATCTGCTCTGAGTAATAAATAGGTAATTTATATTAATATGTTTGGTAGTGGTATACGAAATTTTGTGTGTAAATTTAATTTAAAGTGTAACTTCGCATAAAACACAAAATTACTTTACCCGACTGCAAAATTGTTTTTATTTCATTTCAATACAGCAAATTTATGTCTAATTGGAGGCTGGTATGTCCCAGTTGGAGAGATAGTGTGGAGAGCAATGTTCGCCGTGTTATGTCTCACACTTTGTCTCAGGAAGTTGCCCTAGAATACAACTGGGTTGGAAAAGGCTCGAAAAACTTAGACTTAAAACAGTCATATTAGGTTTGTATTTTTACTTTTTCAAAGTTGATTTCACCGTTGGTGGTGTAAGATATGCCTCTTGTGTTGTAAATGATCATCATTTTGACAGAATTATTCCTCTTTTTAACTTGAAAATTTTAGGTTAAAATGTTTAATTATGTCAAATATCTCTATAACTATTAAATCTATTGACTTGTAATTTAAAATATTTCCTTACTATCAAAGTCTTATCCCTTAGCTCTGTTTGCAGTTTTTCAGTTTTATTTGTCTTTAAACTAGTAAATTCTAATTAGTAGTGTATGTTAAATAAAATCAGTAAACTGTATAAATTTCAGATGCTGTAAGAGGAAGTAGACAGGGGTCTACTCATAATGAAATCGAGAAGACAATGAAGGAGTGGCTAAGATATGCCAAGGATAGGGGAGGCGGGCGGAGGAAGAGACTGGCTAAAAAGTTGCAACAACAAAGAGAAGAAAATGAAAATGATATATGAACAACATTTAGAAATAAATTGTAGTTATTAGAATATTTTATGTTCTTTTATTTTACGGTCTCTCTGAATTCTAGGAGACATCTGCTGTTCTGGTATTGTCATCTGAAGGGCCAGCGTTAGTAGTAAGAAACAAGTAATTGGGCCAATGGAGGGCAACAATAAGAGTAGGAAACAAAGTGATAGGCCAACTGAGAGCCAACTTAGATAGTAGAAAATAAGGCATTGGGCCAACGAAGGGCCAATGTTTATTATAGGAAACCAGTCAGTGGGCCAACGTGGGGCCAACAATAAGAAGGGAAATTAGTTGTTGGGGCAACAGAGGGCCAACGATAGGAAGGAAAACCAGTCATTGGGCCAATGGAGGGCCAATGATAAGAGTAGGAAAGCAGTCGTTGGGCCAACCATATACCAATCGTTGGCCCAACGTTGCCCCAATTAGCAAATTGACATTGGGCCAACGTTGGCATTATGTGTTGGGCCAACAAAGCAAATGTAATTGGCCCAACGTTGGGCCAACTACTGTCTGCTATCTGGGTTTAATTAATGTATATTTTGCATGCACATGTTTAACCTCCTCACACATACGCAGTAGGAATCTGAGTAGTCAAGTTATATGCTTGCATAGAGTGCCAGATAAAATACATGAAAGCCCTATATCAAGCAGATAGGGCAGGGAAGAGTGAAATGTTCGCGGCGTAAACCCTAAATACAGGTCTCTTATGTTTAAATGCCTTAAATTTTTCAGTACTATCTTTAATATTACTTCTATATTAGTATTATATTGGCCTATAGAAAAATGTCCACCAACTTGGATTATTCGGCCATCCATTTGATATATCATCCATTTCATGTTAAAGAAATTTGGCGCCCATTTTAGTGGTCATTTCAAATGGCCATTTCAATGGTCAAGATCAAGTTTTTCAATTTGGTATCCACTTTTACCGGATTCAGCATACCTTAATATTACGTTAATCTATTGCACAGAATGATTGTTTTTACAAAGTGTACCAGTATCCGGATGTTGAAAGCTATCCGATTTTCTGTAATTACTGCTGTCAAATAACCATCTAACTTTTTATGAAAACTTAATAAACTAGTCTAGTCAATTAAGAAATCTTCTATTTGTTTATATAGAAAAGTAACTATATTCGAATTTATTTCCACATAAAGCAAAAGTTATGGTTTCCCTCAATTGTTTCGCTAGAATTTTGTACTACAAAATGCCTCTAGCATCTTATAGGGAGCCAAATTCTCAAAGTCAGTCCTGTCTAATAATTGATTCAAACTACACTGTCCTTCTCTGTCACACTATTGTGATAAATGGATCTCAAAATGAATAAATGAATGAATAAATAAATAAATAAATAGATAAATAAATAAATAAATAAATAAATAAATCTATGTAAATGACAGACAGATAGACAGATAACTTTATTTCCACTCAAGGTATAATAGATACAACATGAGGATATGCAAAGCAATATATGGTTCCGGTAGAGATCTGCCAAAAAAAGGTAAAACATTATTTTAGCATTCAGTATCATGTAAATAAAAAATAAATAAACACTTTTGAAGGGATCCCCAAAAGAAAATTGGGACCCAAATTGGCCCTTAATTTTCAGGCATATTTAAGGGATCTGAATGGTTACTTGTTAATGCCTAGTTTTTAAACTGTTCTTTTTCTTCACTGTACAATATATTCTTATATTGAAAGGTATTGTATTAGTGATTCATGCATTTAAGGAGAAGTGCCTCGAAAAATTTCTAGTTAGAAAACAATACAATATGTATATTGTACATGTATAATAAATTTTATTGCAACAGTTTTATTGCAAACAAAACATGATAAAAGATTCACTTAAACTATGCATGTTTTAAACAAATATTTTGCTGTATAAATGTGCTCGAGATAAAAACAAAAACAGCAAAATCTCATAATTAACAGTTCAGTTATTTTCTGACCATTATCAGTATGAACAGTGAAATACCAAGATTACTTACACTGGAAATTAACTAATATATTTTTGTATTATGTATATCTCCAATTACTAGCGACTTTGTACTTTAGCTGTTGTAAATAATTATATTTTGTTAATGTGTTTTACTTTTTTGCCATATTTTGTAAGTTCAATGAAATACGAATATTTTGTCTAACTTTCATTGCCGGTATCATATATACCCAGCTTTCTCACCGAAAGCCACTTACAGTGTACATATTTAAGCTTAAAGTATTTTTTTACGAAGTAAATTAAGGAAAATTCAATCAAAGGGTATTTAGAATGTCGACATCAATAAATTTGCTTAGCGGAATGTTGAATTGTAAATTATATCAATCAATCAATCGTTATTTAGCAATCGGCATAAGTATGCCTTGGATACCTGTGATATAAAAATTCAAATGAAGAGAGGTAGCCCGTGCCGCTGCAAAACCGAAAGTATGGTGTTTTTATGAATTTTACATTTATTTTTGACAATATACTGCCATTTGTCCGAAGATGATATGTATATGAACATATTAAATATGTATGATGCATATATAATCAAGCCACAGGTTCATTTCAGCCCGAAAAATATGTCGAGGTGATGGGCGAAGCAAGACATGTCGATTTTTGTAGCTTATTATGAAGTTGCAGTACATGAAATCGGGCACATGACAAATCAGTACATAAATAAAACATCCTAGTGTTCCGTGGTATACATATTTTCTACGTGACATATACCTCCTTTCCTTATTACAATGAAATTTTACTGGATTGGTATCCATCGCTGGTTTGTTTTTAGCAGAGAATGACCTGTGCATGTTCAGAGAGGGTACCGTTTCAGCAGATTTCGCAAAGAGGGTACCGATATGGATATGCACCGTGGTATACCTATTATATCATCTTATTACATTAATGATCTCGGTATTATATTTATTCTAACAAACTCGAGACAAGCAACTTAGAAACGAAACGTTTACCTTCTTGAAGAGTATTCGGATTTCTATCGTCCCCATGATTGACTTGATCGACAGATTCCAGCTGACAACCATGTCGTCCCGTGTTACCAGTCGGATACCGTGTCTCAGGTTCAAACTCGTTGTTTAGTGGTTGGTAAGCACGCACTCTATCTTCTCGAGAAGTCCATGAAGAATTTGTTGCATTTATGCATGGGTGATACGCAGCATTATGGGTTGAAATATCGTAGTATGAATCCGGAATGACAGAAGGTAGATGGAGATTTATTCCCTCCATATATACACTTTTACTCCTAAATTTAATAACAAACTCTTTTTCTAAATAATTTAAAGTCTAAAAACTACCAAAATATTTTTCTATGTACATTCATTAAGACCTGTTGTCAATGTATAGATCCAGTATAGTTCCTTTCTTAAAGATGTCGGCATGCACAAATGTAAACGAATTTTCTATTATGTAAATGTCACCTAGACCATTAAGATTAAAAACAAAGCAAACTTTAGTTTAAATGATTAAACTAATATTTGATTTAGCGCTAAGTGGGAAGTGTTGGCGGCCTTATCGCAAAAATACGCAACGTCGGCGAACAATGTCACACAGAAATGAGGAAACAAGCATTAAACTATCTAAAACAAACAGAAGATAGCGAGAGACACATCCATATTTCATTACAAAATAAATCAATCAACCAATGGAAATTCAAGAGGGCGGAGCTTTACTTTCACGAGACACACACTACCTGTGACGCTTAAATTTAGAAGAACAACATTTAACATTTGTTAAAATCCAAAACAGAATTAAACAGATAGTACTGAAGCAACTTTCAACCCACATTTTCCCATTATCTGTATGATTGATGTTATCATAAATGTTTGGAAATTTTAATTCAGCTGTTTAAGTAAACACTGTATATATTTATTATATTAACATCTATCTCATCATGGCTGTAATACACCATAGGGAACGTGTTACAGTATCGCGTTTTCCGGTTACAGTATAGAATTTTCAAGATTGAGGATGATTTTGTGGGGAAGACAGTTATGATTTTTTGTTCCGGTTCATACTCACCGTAGGGAACGTGTTACAGTATCGCGCTTTCCGGTTACAGTATAGAATTTTCAAGGAGGATTATTTGAAAATTCGAATCGAGAGACCAACGCATTTTTCTGGTATTCCGACATTATTTTTAAAAGTATGCCTACAAAAAGTAAACCTACAAAACGTCAGTCCTTTGTGTTTAGAAACGTTAGTAAAAGTAAACGACCAGTTTAATCTATTTTCCTCTTCGTCAAATGCGTTTGAAAAAATAAACAATGTTACAGTATAGAACGAGGTGAATTGTGCAGGGTTACAGCATAGATCTAGCGATATTTATTCGATTTTGTTGCTTAGACCTCGATATTTTCTATATATACTTGTAAAATGTATGAATGATACATAGACTCAACTTGTCAGCTTATTGATCCGATGTCTATTCGTCCGTCTGTCGTACACATATGAGTCAAATCTCATCCACTCAGTAACTACTTGACCAAAAGTTGATGAAATTTACATGAATTTCTACCAAAGTTGTTCAAATGGTTTCGGTTGCAATCTGGGATACGAAAACCAAAAATGTAGATTTTTAAAAAGGCAATGTTTCTTCTCTCGAACCAAAAAGCATTCAAATCAGATCGTGACCCTGGCGTCATTTTGAATGTTAAGTCTTTGTTGAAGTGAGGATTATTTTGTCATTATTAAATTAAAAGTAGTTTTTTATTATTATTTTTTATTTCAGACAGGATGTAAAAAGTTATCATGTTTCTGTAAAGGAAAATAATATTGAAAGATATTAAGGTCAGACAATTACACTATCTTTTCCATAGAGCCTTGTGAAGGTACATATTAGTGGCAGAGTCGGGATAAGGTCGCCGACTTTAAATAATCTTTCCTTTACTGCTGTGGTTGAAATCCTGTCATGGCGCTGGAATAATTGTTTGTGAGGAATCTATCAAGCTAGTTTACGTGAGGTCGGTGGTTTTAGTCAGGTGCCCGCTCATATCTGAAATGTTTCACAAAGGGTATCTGGTGTCTTTCTTTACAGCAGAGCAGGAATGTTTTCACATGACCTCAATGTCAGTGAAACTTAAAATCCAAGAAAACCAAAAGTAACAAACTCTAAGATACAAAATACATTATTATAGATGTAAATTCCAACTTAAAATAAGTTTTAAGGTTGCAGTATTTCTAACTTGAATACTAATCACCCTTAGGGTATATGTTGCCTGCTTTTTAATTGTGTCTTTTGACAACTTATCTGTGATATGCAGGCTTCATAACCTCCGATCCCCTTTTAAAATTCCATTGTATTTAGTTTCACCCATTGTATTCTCGTTTAGAGCACATGCAATTTTAAACCTGGGGGATAATATGTCGCTTTTCATGGAATGGCAGTAACGTGTCACATTGAAGGTTCCATGATAATCGCCATATGAACACATCTACAGATGTTAAAAAAATCTAAAGTGTACCAGTTCATGTTAAATGTTGAAGTCTGCTTTTAAAAGCCGGTGCTAGGAGGCGTGGATTGTAGCTTGCAGTTACCTCTACCGCCCATGGACAGACTCAATCAAATCGAGCCGGCAACATTTTCATTTTTCTGTGTTGGACTTTCTTTCAGGGTTCTGTTTTTGTCTATTTTATTACTAACATGCATTGTAATGTGTAATGGAATCAAACAATACTCTTTCTTCTCTCCATATAAATTGATAACAGTTACTGTTGTTGTTGTTGTGAATATGGCATTTTACTTATCCTGCAAAAAGTCTCAATCTGAATATAAGTACTTAAAGTAAGGAAAATAGTAAGCTATAACTTTTCTGCTGAAGAAAAAAAATGTAATACAAGAATATATTAAATATAAAGGTATGGGTTATTTCATAAAAATAATGGATACACGAACATTATTTGAAATTTGGCAAGTATCTAAACGTTAACCGAAATTTGGGTATATGATCAATCAATAGGGGTCTTCTACCCAATGTAGACAATCATCCTATGAAGTTTGAATATTGTGGGCCACATGGAACTTAAGTTATGCTCTGAAACTGTTTTCAGTTTGAAAGTAATAATGACATTTGACCTTGTGATCCCAAAATCAATAGGGGTCTTCTCCCCAATATGGACAATCATCCTATGAAATTTGAACACTGTGGGCTAAGAGGAACTTAAGTTATGCTCCAGAAACTGTTTTCAGTTTAAAGGCAATAGTGACCTTGACCTTGTGACCCCAAAATCAATAGGGGTCTTCTACCCAATATGGACAATCATCCTATGAAGTTTGAATATTGTTGGCCACATGGAACTTAAGTTATGCTCCGGAAACCAAATTGCTAACGGACAGACAGACGGATGGACGCCAGGAGGTATAACATAATATGCCCGAAATTCTTTCGGGCATATAAAGATGTAACAACTTAACGACAGCCCCTTTGAATTTAAAAACAAGATTGCATTTGAGAAAAATGCTATGCCACCGCATTAATACCTAAGCTCTAGGCCTTTTGGGCATTTACAAGAAGGTATTTTAAGTTTTTGAAGCCTTGTACCTTGTACCTACAGACAATAAGATTTTTTTATTTTTTACTATATGTAAATATTGAAAATCAATGACCCCCGGGGCGGGGGCAATTTTGACCCCAGGGCTATAATTTGAACAATCTTGCTAGAGGTTCACTACACAATGTTTCATGCAAAATATCTAACCTCTAGCATTTGTCAATTGCTAGAAGAAATTTACTTAAAGTTTTTACTATATACATATAACGAAAACCAATGACCCCCGGGGCAGGGCCGATTTTGACCCCAGGGCTATAATTTGAACAATCTGGGTAGAGGTCTACAACACAATGCCTTATGCTCTAGGCCTTTTGGGTCTTTACAAGTAGGTATTTAAAGTTTTTACTATATGTACATATAGTGAAAATCAATGACCCCCGGGGCGGGGCCGATTTTGACCCTAGGGCTATAATTTGAACAATCTTGGTAGAGGTCTACCAGGCAATGCCTTATGCAAAATATCTAAGCTCTAGGCTATTTGGGTCTTTACAATAAGGTATTTTAAGTTTTTACTATATTACATATAGTGAAAATCAATGACCCCGGGGCAGGGCCGATTTTGACCCCAGGGCTATAATTTGAACAATCTTGGTAGAGGTCTACCAGACAATGCCATATGCAAAATATCTAAGCTCTAGGCCTTTTGGGTCTTTACAAGAAGATTTTTTAAATTTATTTTTATAATTCCTTTTGGTTGCCATGGCAACCAGATTTCTGCATGGAATGAAATTCTTTGAACAACTTTGGAAGCCCTTCACCCAAGGATCAATCCTGCCAAGTTTGGTTGAAATTGGACTATTGGTTTTTCACAAGAAGATTTTTTACGTTCACTATATAATCTATATAACAATGACCCGGGGCGGGGCCTATTTTGACCCCAGGGCTATAATTTGAACAATGTTGGTAGAGGTCTACCAGACAATGCCTTATGCAAAATATCTAAGCTCTAGGCTATTTGGTCTTTACAATAAGGTATTTTAAGTTTTTACTATATGTACATATAGTGAAAATCAATGACCCCGGGGCGGGGCCGATTTTGACCCCAGGGCTATAATTTGAACAATCTTGGTAGAGGTCTACCAGACAATGCCTTATGCAAAATATCTAAGCTCTAGGCCTTTTGGGTCTTTACAAGAAGATTTTTTAAATTTGTTCTTATAATTCCTTTTGGTTGCCATGGCAACCAGATTTCTGCATGGAATGAAATTCTTTGAACAACTTTGGAAGCCCTTCACCCAAGGATCAATCCTGCCAAGTTTGGTTGAAATTGGACTACTGGTTTTTCACAAGAAGATTTTTTAAGTTCACTATATAATCTATATAACACACACACACACACACAAACAAACACACACACACACAGGTGAATCGCTATATGCCACCGCATCGCAGATGCTGCGGTGGCATAAAAAAAGTCAGAAAGAAAACAACATTGACTTATTGTTGATACACTATCTTTATACAATATATTGAACCATCTTCTAATATTGTTTCCAAATTTAGATTAGGTTAAAGTTTGTAGCACAAAAATCCAAGATAATGAGTCAAAAGCTTTTTCAAAGTCTATGAGGAGTAAACCAGGAATATCTTTTTTTCTGTGTAGTTCATGATATCATAGATTAATCTAGTATTTTTGACTATAAAGCCTGTTTGATCTTTACTAACTAGTTTATCTAAAAATTTCTTTAAACGATTTGCAATGCAGCCTGATCCTATATATATCCAGAGTTTTTGGTCGCCAGTTTTTTAAATATTTTCATGTAATGATTCCTTGAGTTTGCTTTAGTGACAATGATCCTGATGAAAAAGCATGATTTAAAGCTCTACATACAAACATACCAATACGGTTCCAAGAAACTTTATAAAAGTCTGCATTAAAGCCAGAAGTGCCTGGACTTTTATTGTAGCCATGTTTTTTTTTTTTACATATTTTACACCTCATTTAGTGTTATTGGATAATGTTGGAAAAGTTAAGTTTTTAATAAAATATTTAAAGTATCATTATAATTTTCTATGTTGTTTGTAAAAAATAATTTGGAATAAAATGCAGAGATTTCTTATAGAATGTCAGTCTGATTTGAAATTTCTATTCCATCATCATTAATTAAACTGAAAATTGTTTTTGTTGTATAATTATTTCTTTCTAAATAACAGAACAATTGTCTTGATTTTTCACCATCAAAAATCCAATCAACTTTTGATCTGATCATAAAACCTTTTTTTTTTTGTTTTCATTCTGTATTTTATTTAGTTCCTTTCTTTAAGTTATTTAATTGCTCAACTTTATCAGCAGAAAATGAATTTTCAGAATTTTCAATCTGTTCTTAAATGTCTATTTTCTGTTTATTTATTTGATTCTTTCTTTTTATATGAACTATATGAAATAGATTTTCCTCTAATTTCCATTAATTAGGTATCACTAATAGCTGATCATTTACTGTTTATTACAAGTCTGACGGATCTATATCTAAAATATTTTCATATTTATATATATCGGAACAGCATGTTGAATGATAGTTTTACCTTATTGATTTCCTTCAGATAATCTAAATCTTTTAAAAGTGAATTATTATGCTTCCACAATCCTTTACCATGATCGAAACTTATAAATTTCAGTTTAAGTCAGGCTTGGGGGCCATAACTTTGCAAAAGGAATGCATTCCATTACCATTACTTTGGAATTTAGTGCAGTATCAGTACCATTACTTGATTTTGGGAAACATTACCATTACTTGGACCAAGTAATGCAATAAATTACCATTACTTTTGAGCATAAGACAATTTCTTTTTGCCAAGCTAAGATGTTTTGAAGGTTATATTTACAAAAAATCAAACTAATCATATACATTTGTATATTAAATTTCTTATATATGAGACACTTTCAAAGAGTTTTCAGATGTATTTTTTCCTTGATTATCTGCCTTCTTAATAGATCATTCAAGATATTCATCTCTGTGTTTTACCTTTAAATATAAAATACAACCAAACTGAATTTACATAAAATTGTATTTAAAGTTTTTACTTAAAATTGTATTTTAAGTCAGTAATAGTGACAATGCATTTCGTGATAATAAGTCCGGAATGAAAACTCCAAAAAGGTGCTAATGCTCCCCAATGGTCAAAAAAAGACACGTGTCAAATGGTAATTTTATCTTGAATGAAGGGTTTTAGTTGATAGCAAGGCTTTCCAAAGGTCATTAACTGTAAAATTGGTGAACTTAAACTCATCATTCTACACTGAACAATGTATATGACTGCAAGTACAACAAGAGCCACAACCAGGCGGGGGCAACGCTCAACTTTTCACTTTTTCTAAAAGCAAACAAAGAAATGTTTAAACAAATGTTAATGTTTCCTTTTATAAATTTAATTGGTCTGTCTTGTCACATTAGTTTTGTCTATATATTTTGTATACATATACATATGCATTTATATATATCAAGTTCATTTAAGAGCCCAAGTCAATTTGAGTTTGATAAATATGAAGGTCTTGTCCTTTAGAATGTTATCTTATAATATGAAGTCAATCCATTCAATAAAAGCAAAGTTACAGCAAGTTACAGCCAAAAAAAATGAAAATTTCAATAATTTGACCTTCAAAGTCAAGGTCATTTACGAGTGAAAGTCAAGGTCTGTCTGGTTATTTTTAAGGGCTATCCTTGAAAATTATTATGTCCAAGTTTGAAGACAATCCATTCAAAAATAACAAAGTTACAGCCAATAATAGCAAGAACAAGCAAAATTTGGACTTTTAACCTTGAAGGTCAAGGTCATTTATGGATGAAGGCCAAGGTTAGTGTGGTCTACTGAAAGGTCTTGTCCCAAGGGTTGTTGTGGCCAAGTATGAAGACAATACACCAAGAAATAAAAAAAGTTATGATCCAGGTACAAGTTTGCAGACGGCAACGGCAATGCCGTAGCAACTGTAACAATACCTCTACTTTTTTTTCAAAAAAAAAAGTCAAGCTAAAAAATGAAAATTTCAATAATTTGACCTTCAAAGTCAAGGTCATTAATAGGTAAAGGTCTGTCTGGTTATTTCAAGGGATATCCTTGAAGATTATTATGCTCAAGTTTTAAGACAATCGATGCAAAAATAACAAAGTTACAGCCAATAATAGCAAGAACAAGCAAAATTTGGAATTTGACCTTTAAGGTGATGAGGTCAAGGCTAGTGTGGTCTACTGAAAGGTCTTGTCCCAAGGGTTGTTGTGGCCAGGTATGAAGACAATACACCAAGAACTAAAAAAGTTATGATCCAGGTACAAGTACCGGTATGCGGCAGGCAACGTCAACGCTGCCAGCACTATAACAATACCTCTATTTTTATTTTTTTTAAAAGTTAAGCTATAAAAAAATCGCAAATGTTAAGTTTGCAGAATACAATGGCAAGAACACTAATTCTACCTCCATTTCAATTTACTACATGATTTTATTTGCACTCATCATTCTTTCATTTACACGAATAATCACTGGTATAAGGCACGTCAACTTTTCTCTATCTACAACCCTTCACATCATTACATACAAAATAAAGTATTGTACTTAATCTATCACTGTACCAAATCAATATACACAATCTTTCATTCTTTACCAAATCTAAAACAGGACAAACGTAAGCAAAGTACCAATTTCACTACACATCATATACTTTTTCTTTATTTTTCACTGTCTGATTTGTCTGATATTTCTCCTAATGCTTTCTTGTATTCTTCTAAATCTTTATCTTTTTGTTTCAATTGTTCTTTAAAAGCTTCTGCTTGTTTTTTTATCTCTTCTAGCTCTCGTTTCAATTTATCTTGATCTGTTTCCTCGTCAATCAGCTCTGTTGCATCACCTGAGCCATTCTGAAACAAGACTGCACTTGTGAAAAAAATAGTATGCCACCGCATAAATATTACAGAAGTAATTTTTTTTGTTTCTATACATTCAAACTCTGCCACAATGCAGTAGTGTGAAGTGAATTTTGGGGTCAAGGCCATATTTCAGCATGTCAAATGAATGACAAAGTGCAGATGGCTTGTGACTTATAATAACATACAAAGTCCAATAATTGATTAAACAAGCAATTATCATAGTATTGCAAACAATCCATAAGTCCCCTACCAGTAAGAACCCCAGCGACATTCTGATGGGCCATTGGCCATTCAATTTTACCAGTGAATGAATGACATGAATGAACTAAAATCTTTTGAGTTCTAAGTTTGTTACTTTAGTTTCCCTGCCTATTAAAGAAATTATGTTTATACAACCTTGTCATATTATTACGATGTGGGATTTTAAAGTAAATCCTATAAGGAATGAAGAAGTTGGAGTAAAAAATACCAATTTCTCGAAAAAAATCTAAGTTCAAGGGGGACATAATTCTGGAAATAGTCTTGCTAGAGTATTTAACATTCTCAGAAATGTTGAGTGATAATAAGAAACATATATAAAAATTATGAAGTCTGAAGTAGATACATTAGGAAATAAAGAAGTTATTTAAAAAAGACAACATTTTTTTTTCATAAAAATTCTAACTTCAAGGGCGGTAATACTGATAATTTTTGTGCTAGAGTTGTAAAAATCTGGAAACAAAGTGATCCCTCGGAAGCATTAATCACAACAAAATTACGTAAGAACTGCAGACTCGGTTTGATTGAGTCTGTACATGAGGGATAATGAATAAGTGCAACATCCCTCACGCCCCCTAGCACCGGCTTGAGCGGTACTCCATTCTCAACACTTAATAGTGCTGGCATCAATGATCCCGACGGACCAGAAAAATATAACAACACTGAAGTGAAGTACGGGGCAACTTTTTACAGCTGCCACACAGCACTTGACACCTGCTGTTGTGAAGTATAAAAATCTGGAAACAAAGTGATCCCTCGGAAGCATTTATCACAACAAAATTACGTAAGAATTGCAGACTCGGTTTGATTGAGTCTGTACATGAGGGATAATGAATAAGTGCAACATCCCTCACGCCCCCTAGCACCGGCTTGAGCGGTACTCAATTCTCAACACTTAATAGTGCTGGCATCAATGATCCCGAAGGACCAGAAAAATATAACAACACTGAAGTGAAGTACGGGGCAACTTTTTACAGCTGCCACACAGCACTTGACACCTGCTGTTGTGAAGTATAAAAATCTGGAAACAAAGTGATCCCTCGGAAGCATTAATCACAACAAAATTACGTAAGAATTGCAGACTCGGTTTGATTGAGTCTGTACATGAGGGATAATGAATAAGTGCAACATCCCTCACGCCCCCTAGCACCGGCTTGAGCGGTACTCAATTCTCAACACTTAATAGTGCTGGCATCAATGATCCCGACGGACCAGAAAAATATAACAACACTGAAGTGAAGTACGGGGCAACTTTTTACAGCTGCCACACAGCACTTGACACCTGCTGTTGTAAACCTTGTTACATATAATGTGGTTGATGATCAGAAACTTATATTTAAAGTTTGAAGTAAACACTTTAAGAAATAAAGAACTTATAGTGAAAAAGCTGAAAAATTTAAATCAGAAATCTTGAAATTCAGGCTATTTGTTGCCATAGCAACCAGAATTTTCAACATAGGAAGAAAAGAAAAAGAAGTGCATAATCTCCAGACTGCCATCTCTACCAATATTTCAAGTTTCATAAAAACATATTTTCAGTACTTTTTGAGTTATCACTGGATCCAGTTTATGTGTTAAATTTGCCATATTTTCAGACTATTTGTTGCCATAGCAACCAGAATTTTCAACATAGGAACAAAAGAAAAAGACGTGCATAATCTCCATTACTGCCATCTATCCATATATCAAGTTTCATAAAAATATTTTTAGTACTTTTTGCGTTATCGCGGGATCCAGTTTTGTGGACGGACAGACTGACGGACGGACAGACGGATGGACGGACGGACAGTAAACCTAAAGTCCCCTCCGGTTAAACCGGTAGGGGACAAAAAAAGAAAGAAAAACAAATTACTGAATAAGTATTTACTGTATAACATAGGTGAATGCAGGTACAGTTATTTTTCTTAAATAATGTCTTTTCAATTAAGCATTATTAATTTCAAAAAAACATAAAAACTAGAAATGTGTCCATAGGACACAGGTGCCCCACACTCCACTGTTTTGTCAATCTACTGTATTTAGGTCATATGTTTTTGGGCTACACGCGATACAAGTTGAAAACTGAAAGTTTTTTTACGAAGTCAATGACAAAGCTTTGAATAAATCCACATGCAAACACCCAGGTGCACAACTGTGCTTGCTTATCAACATTTCTATAAAGTTTCATTACTCTAGGACAAATGCTTTTTGAGTTACATGCAACATAAGTTGAAAAATCAATGAACCTAATGCACAACACGACACGGTACTGATCATTCCCCTAAAATTTTGATGAAATTGCACCAGAGGTTTCAGAGGAATAGTCCAGTCAAACCTCTCTGTAGCTGGCAATACAATAAACATTTTTTGAGCTCCCAACTTTATGGGGGGGGGGGCGGTATTTAGATTTACCCTTGTGTGTTCGTCCGTCCATCTGTTCTCATTTTGTGTCACACGTAACTCAAAAAGTATTTGACCTAAAGTCATGAAACTTTACAGGAATGTTGATCAGCATGTGTAGTTGTGCACCTTGGTATCTTCATTAGGATTTATTTAGTATTTGTTGAGTTATTGCCCTTGACTTAGTTTAAATTTGCAATTTTCAACTTGTGTCGTATGTAGCTATAGGGTCATGAAACTTTACAGAAATGTTGATCAGCAATTGTAGTTGTGCACCTAGGTGTTTTTGTGTGGATTTATTTAGTATTTGTAGAGTTATTGCCCTTAACTTGTGTTGCACTTAGTTCAAAATATATTTGACCTAGAGTCATGAAATTTCACAGGAATGTTGCTCAGCATGTGTAGTTGTGCACCTGGGTATTTTTCATTAGGATTTATTTAGTATTTGTTGAGTTATTGCCCTTGACTTAGTTTAAATTTGCAATTTTCAACTAATGTCGTATGTAGCTCAAAAAGTATTTGACCTAGGGTCATGAAACTTCACAGAAATGTTGATCAGCAATTGTAGTTGTGCACCTAGGTATTTTTGTGTGGATTTATTTAGTATTTGTAGAGTTATTGCCCTTAACTTGTGTTGCACTTAGTTCAAAATATATTTGACCTAGAGTCATGAAATTTCACAGGAATGTTGCTCAGCATGTGTAGTTGTGCACCTGGGTATTTTTCATTAGGATTTATTTAGTATTTGTTGAGTTATTGCCCTTGACTTAGTTTAAATTTGCAATTTTCAACTAATGTCGTATGTAGCTCAAAAAGTATTTGACCTAGGGTCATGAAACTTCACAGAAATGTTGATCAGCAATTGTAGTTGTGCACCTAGGTATTTTTGTGTGGGTAGAGTTATTGCCCATGACTTGTGTCACTTAGCTCAAAAAGTATTTGACCTAGGGTCATTAAAATTTACAGAATGTTGATCAGCATGTGTAGTTGTGAACCTGGGGTTTAACTTGTGGATCAATTCTGTTTTGTCAGAGATATTGCCCTTTACTAAGTAAAAATTTGCAATTTTCAACTTGTGTTACACAAAGCTCAAAAACTTTTTGACCAAGAGTCATGAAACTTTACAGGAATGTTGCTCACCATGTGTAGTTGTACACCTGGGGTTTTGCTTGTGAATTTATTTGATTAAAAATTGCATTTTTTAACTTGTGTCACACATAGCTCAAAAAGTATTTTACCAAGGGTCATGGAACTTTAAAGGAATACTAATCAGTATGTGAGATTGTAGATTTATTCTGTTTTGTCCGAGTTATTGCCCTTGGCTTAGTATAAATTTGCAATTTTCAACTTGTTCATGCATAGCTCAAAAAGTAAGTTTACAAGAATGTTGGTCAGCACATGTACTAATGCACCTTAAGGTTTGCTTGTGGATTTATTCAGTATTTGTAAAGTTCTTGCCCTTTACTAAGTAAAAGATTATTATTCAAACAGAAAACCCGTGTAATATGTAAGTTTATGACCTACCAAGCAATCCTGTAAAGTTTAATTGAAAATGCATCAGTGGTATAACAGGAGTAGTGTGGACAAACTTTAAAAATAAAAATAATAAAAGGGCCATTAATCTGACAAAATCCATTGAATCACAAAAAAGCCAATGATATGCACAACTAGACTTGGTACTGATCATTCCTGTAAAGTTTGGATGAATTTGCACCAGTAGTTTTCGAGAAATAGTCTGGACACGCTTTTGTGTATCTGGCAAGACACAAAAAAACACACCATAATTCAGCCAAAACTCATTCATTGAACCGTATAACTTGTGCAATATGCACAAGGTCTTGAGCTACAGATCAATCCAGTAAAGTTTTATTGAAATTGCATTAGTGGTAGTTCGGAAAAACTTTAAAAATAAAATTATTAAAGGGCCACAACTCTAATAAAAATCATTGAACCAGAAAATGCTGACAATATGTACAACTAGACTTGGTACTGATCATTTCTGTAAAGTTTGGATGAAATTGCACCATTAGTTTATTAGGAGTAGTTCGGACAGTTTTGAGACAGACGAACATGTATCAAAGACATTCCAATATAAGTTGTTTCCCTTCAGACAAGAAGATGTCTTATGTTTTTACTATATGTACATAATAAAAATCAAAGATGCCAGGGCCGGGCAAATTTTGACCCAAGGACTATAGTTTGAACAATCTTGGTATAGGTCCACTACACAATGTTGCATGCCAAATATTTAATCTTTAGCCTTTGTCAATTCAGAGAAGAAATAGATTTTTTACCATATATATAATTTACAAAGAAAACCTATGACCCCCAGGGCAAATTGTGAACAATTTTGG